TTCCTACTTCTCTTTATAAACTTAAGCATTTGTTTTTGCAGAAGAGAAGCTTCTAAAAAGCTGCCAAAAGTTCTTCCTTGCCAGAACTAATTTGAAAAGTGACATTCATATCAGTGGGAAAACCGTATGTGAGGAAATATATGTCAATTAACACCACTGTTGGGGAAAAAAAGTTAATATTAATCTATAGTCAGGAAATTTATTGGCTGAATTTTAAGTAATATACAACTTAGGGTTATCAGCACACACACTGAAGTCAGTTCAATCAATAATCACTAGCACCGAAACAGATATGTTGTAGAAGTTTGGGTTTTAAAAAAATCTCATCCGTATACTTTCTTTACTTTTCTTATTCTGGGCAAGCTCTTAAAATAAGTTGTGTATCTGACATGACACTTTGATGGATCTTAAAAACAAGGGCATTACTAGATGCTGAAAGGGTCGACATGGACCAGGCTCAATGAAGACCCCCAGAATACATGCCTTACCGAATAATGTTTATTTTCAAACTATTTCCATGTAATTATACACCACACTGCAAGGTTTACTACCTGAGCTCATTGACAAAATTTTTACAGCCAAAAAAGATCTTGGCTTAATCACTGTTCACAGTAGAAACTTGTGAGTATAAAATTAAAAAGAAGGAAACTCTTAGGAACAAATTTCAGAATAAATCTTTGTGACCTTTAATTATACCATGTAATATAATGTTTGGATTTCAACGTGATCATTATAATATCAAGTCTCATAACAGACAGTGATTTCCACTGCATGATTGTGGATTAGGCAATAAAAACTTTAGATACTAAGTGAATGTTTAGAGTAACATTATACATCAGAGTCAAAAAGCTAAAGGACCCTCCTGTCATACCAATAAATCTTCTTCCGTACAAGTCCAGAATTCTTTGCATGGTCATTGTACATTGGAGTTAGGGAAATGAGAAGATTCTAGAGATTCTTAGACATAAACTCGGAACTTATGCTGATCCATCATGAAATAATAGCAGCATTCACTTAGGGAGTTCAAGTGACATAGAATTTTGTCTCAAGTATGTTTCACAATTTATCAATGTGTCTCATCCTTGAACTGGCCCTTTCTTCTTTTCTGAAAGTGAGTTAAAAGTAGGCGGCTTACTTCAGAATCTTCGTTTAGACTCAATAAACTGTGAACACTAGATTTTCATTGTAGGAAAAGTCAAGTGTAAGTCTTAGTAACTTCATCTAAAAATGCAAAATATTAAACTAAAAGTAATGTGGATTTCCTGAGAGAGTGAATCAATTATTGAAATCATCAAATGGCTATATATGTAGAGACATGATTTCTAACACATTTATATTAATGTTCATGCTTAGTCTGTGAAAAAGCAAAAAAAAAAAATCAAGAATAGTAACAGTTTACCATAACCAAATCATGATTCAGAATAAAGCTTTTTGAAATGTAATGTCTTTGCTGAATCACCCAAAGACAACTTAGCATCTGTGAGCACATATTGATTCTTCTAAATGTCTTTTTTATCATGCAAATTGCTAAGAACAATCAGAAACAAAATTGCATTTAGGTGGCAGTGACACAGTGTCACTTAACAGTCTCAACACCTGTCTAAGTAAATTCTCTTGTCCTCTGTCATGATGAAATATATAGCTCTGATGAAGATATCCATAATATATAATGTGCAAAGCATTATCTTCAGACTATATGAAGAACTCATAAACCAAAAGTAACTGACAAGCAACTCATTAAAAAATGAGGAAAGCAACTGCCACAAAGTAAATATTATAAAGGGTAAATCAATTTTCAATATTTGAAGATTATTGGAGACAATAGACAAAGAAACAGGATGGAATGTCCAGGTATAAATCCATGCATGAACCCAAAGACTACAAATGCCATATATGTACATACCTGAATGACAGTACTAGTACATGAAAATGATATTTTCTAAATTGCATATAAGGAAACCAAAAAAGTATAACAATAATTTATCTTTGGAGATTATGTAGAGATAACAGAACTTATTTACACTGCAGAGGGGAGTGTAAATATTTAAAACAATTTTTGGAAAATTACTTGGCAACATCTGTAGTTAAATGTATATATATATATATTTGTGAGAATTGCTGGAGAATAGAGCATATATATATTCTCCAGCAATTCTCACATGGGAATATATACAAAATAAATAAATACTTATGTTCATGAAAAAACATGTACAATGCTATTCATATCAGCAATGTTTGTAAGGGCTGGGCCTCAATACACGCCAGTAGAGCATCATGGTCCATTCATGCAAGGTGATCATATGCAATGTTGAATGTGAAGAAACTAAAACCATATGCTAAGAAGGGACCAAATTTCACAAGCTTTATTTTCAGCAAAGGAGAACATACCAAAAATGTGCATACTGATGATGCCGTTTAAATAATTTATAATGACAACAAACCAAAGTTTAACTGTAGATTCCAAGCTAAGATGGCATTGGTCCTTTGTGGGATGACACGAACGGGGATCTGAAAATGAGTTTCAGGGTGCCGGTGATACCACATTTCTTGATCAGTTTCCAATTTACAGGTAGTAACAAATTCTTGGAAACTCATCCAGCTGTATGTCTATACTTTTCGGTATGCATATTTACAACAATAAAGTCATGGACAATTAATATTCATTTTGTTTAGTTAATTCTTTTTGATTCTATAACCAATATTTTTAATTCCAATTTCAAGTGTATTCAAGTTTACTCACAAGTGACAAACTGCTCCAAAATAACTTCAGATTGTTTGGATATAACTAGCAGAGAAAAATATGTCAAAAAAAAAAAAAAGAGAAAAATATATGTCAGACAATAATATTAGCTTGTGATAGCATACGCTTTTCAGTTGTAGATTTTAGGGGTTGAAAGTTTAAGCTTAAGTAATAGGCCTTTGGAGTGTAGTAGTTATCATGACCTAATATCACCCCCGAAGAGAATATCTGTGCCAGATGCAACATTTGCCTTCAAACACTCAGGGGTGTTATTATCTCATAATTATACCTGCTGCTTTCCACCATGGATGATATAAACATTCCGTATTTAAGTACAGTCATTACACTCATGTTAAGTATATCACTCTGACCGCAAGGACATACTGATTAATATTAGAATAGTTAAATTATTCAAAATAAAATGATAGTGTATAACTCATTGGAATGTGAGGAAAATTTCTTACTCTAAAATAAAAATCCTCTTCTTTAAAAAAAAAGATAAACATTCAATGAAAACATGAGAATCTATATGTTGTCACATGCTCTTAATTATAGTGGAAAAAGTAGCTGTTCCAGGGCCTCCCTGGTGGCGCAAGGGGTTAAGCCCTGTGCTATGAAGCAATCCGCAGCCTCTTCAGCACGAGTTCCATCCCTGGCTGGCCAGGGAACAACCCACATGGTGTTGCAGACCTCTCCTGTCTTTCCGGCTGCTCCCCTCAGCAGTGTATTTCAGTCAGTCTGGTGTTCCCCACTCTGTCTCTGGTGAATCCTCTCACCCCCTGCACCTCTGGCCTGTACCCCAGCTCATGTATGCATAAATAAATAAATATTTTTTTTAAAAAGTAGCTGTTTGAGAAAACAAAATTATAATCATGATGACCATTCTCCAATTGTATTCGTTTAAAATATGCAAGGTGACCACCTCCTTAAATCATTATGGAGTTTGACTTTATCCTTAGTCACGAAAGGATAGTTATAAGCTAGTAGAACTAAAAAGGCAAATTAGCAGTTAAGAACCATGTTTCACACTACCCACATGTGGCTTCTATTTCATGAATTGGTTAATTTTTAAAGATGAAAATTTATATGACATAATTATTATAGCATGACATAGGAAGTAGATATTTGGTGTGCTATAAATATATGAGGTATTCTTTGATGAGTGCTACAAACAATTTTAAGACAATTAACTCTAAATAAATGCAATTTTATAGTGAAGGACAGTTTTTCAGTTTACTTAATGCTAAGAAATAACAATTAGTTTTCTTTCTAATTATCTCAAAACTCTTCATATTTTAGTCTCTATTCTTAGAACATATTTTATTCACTTTTTTGATTTCAAGTACATATACTAAGATTTAAATTGCCAAAATAGTTTACACATTTAAACAGTCAGTCTCAGAACTGAAGTACACTATGATTCGCTCTATTCTGCATCTAATGTGTTTTCCATTGGAATTTCCTACTTCTATTAGGAGAAAAATAGCAGACATAAAAGAAAAATACTGGCACTCTAATCAAATGCCTTATACAAGCAAAAGGTTTCTATTATTTTCCAATCATCTATCAGCCAACCATTAAAACCTTCAATGCCAACAATACCTCCTACTGTTACAGACTACTGTTGACTGGGAAGTTGTTCTGCTTATTTTAAAAACTAGTTTAAGTTTCAACTCAAACTTATAGCAAGACTAATGATGTTTTTTATCAATAAGTTGAGATACAATGGGAACAAAGTTCTACATTTTATTTATAATAAAGTCCAAGCCATGAGTCTACTATCTTGAAAACAGCATAAAATAAGAAACAGAACAGACATTGTCATACACAGCCAGAAGCTGAATAAATTAGATATAAAGAAAAATAGCAAGAAGCGGTTGATCTGAGAAGAGACTGGAAACGCACACACAACCACCTAATAACTACAAGTTTGAACACATTTTCAAGGTAGAAATGACAGATTTGGAGAGGAAAGTATTCACATAACCACAATTCCCAAGGCATTAAAAATAATATAAACAAAGATAAGTGCATTGCATACATTTAGGAAGCTAGAATAACAAGCACTAAAGCAAACAAGAAAGTGAACAGATATGAAAAATTGGAGAATATAATTATATGTACTTAAGTATGCATTGATTTACTAATGACTAACTTATATGAAAATAGAAGAACCCACTTACATATGATGCTAGATGTTGTCCTCACCAATGTGTCCTCACACATATATGCTCAGAGAAACTCAATAGCATGCTCTTACCCCAAAACACGAGTCTTCCTTTAGGGCAATGGTAATGTCTTGGTGCTCTGATGACTGCAGGGATCCACGCAGATAATAAGAGTCCATCTAGCTACATCAGAATGTCCTGTGTCCACCCTGGAATGCAAAAATGTGAGGGGAGTGTTATAAAGAGGTACTACTGGGTCATTGCTCATTCACTGCACTATCCATGATGGAGGTTATCCTGAGATAGTATCTTAGTGTTTTCTGGATTCACATGATCTCCTAAACTGGTTCTCACCAACTCAAGATTTTTTTATTAAGAGTCATTTATTTATTTATGCATACAAGAATTAGGGTATAGGCCAGAGGTGCAAGGGTGAGAGGATTCACCAGAGACAGAGTGGGGAGCTGAACAGCCCAATTGACTGAAATACACTGCTAAGGGGAGCAGCCGGCGAGACAGGAGAGGTCTGCTGCACCATGTGGACAGCTCCCTGGCTGGGGATCAAACTCGTGGTTTAGTGGCTGCAGATAGCTTCAAAGGCTGCTTTTTAACCCCCTGCACCAGCAGGGAGGCCCACAAGGTTCTTAACTGTAGGTTTTCAGGCTGTAGAGGTGCAGACTGAAATCAAATGAAGCAACAAGATGGCGGATGATTCTAGTCTCAGTCGTCTGAACTATCACATTTCAGTATCATCAGTGGGACAAAGACAAAATGGAGCTGACACCTGTGCTGATCTTGCTTTCACTATCAATGTAAGTAATAAATGATCTAAATTTTAGAAGTTTGTTCTTTCTTTAGTAGCCAGATGTGTCAGCATTACTTGACAAGATTTTCCAAGAAATAGCACATTGACGCTTTATTTCACAACCCTGCTTCATACAGAGATTTTTCTTCATCAAACTGTTGGTTAACTGTTCACTTTGTTGGGATATTTTTAATGGATACAGGAAGGAAAAAACTGTGGTTGAGAACTTAAATAAAGTGATGAGATTTAGGACAACGTGTTGTCTGCAATTGACATGATTTTTACTGGGGAATCTAGTTTACTTAAATCAGAATAAATATCTCCTTTCTGGATGGTTGAGAATGTTTATGAGTAAAGACATACATTTTGTAGAGTTTCTATCTCAAATATAATGAACACTGTATTACATACCGTATAATGCTTCTAGAAAGCCAAATGGTATGTCTCAGAATATTTCAAGGGCTATTTTAATTAAAATGAGATATTTATTAAGAAAATCATTACTCTTCATCTTTTTTTCCCCCATGGATAGATGCCTAATTATCAAAACAAATAAGGGACAGTGAAGCAAGGCCGAAAATCTTGAAAACTGATTACTACAGAGAACACAGATAGGGTTTTATTTTATCATCGTGCCTGCAGAGTTCATTGCTGCAAAAAAATACTACATAAACAATAAAAAAATAAGTGATTTCCACTTATTTTTGAGCAAAATATTTAAAATTTTGACAAAACATGAATTTTTCAGTTATGTCTGAGGATTTGCCCTATCTCCAAATTTGGGCTAAGTATTCATAATTTAAATTTGGCATGGATGTTCATAAATACTTTATGTGCATTGTAAAAGTCCATTTTCTATAGCTACTAAAATGATTTCCAGCAATGCTGACTTGTTTGCAGTTGCAATGTTGACAATTTCTTTAAAGTAGTATTTAAGTAATAAATACAGTCACTAAAATAAATAACATGGAAATTTTCAGTCCATTCTTGCATAAAGAGTTGAATTATATAACATGTCATTATCGAACTTACATTATGATTCAAAAAACTGATTTTTTTTTTTTTTACTGAATGTAATTCTTGTACTGATAAGATCTGGTCAGGCATATTTTAAACAAATATTTAAAGACTTTCTTCAAATTTACTATTAATATTTACAATTTAAAGTAGTAATATTTGGACTTATACCAAATAAAGGTTACAAAGTATTAAATTAATTTCCATAGAAAGTGTTTGAATGCGAACATTGAGTAATATTGTGTCTAAACACAACCTCCTGACAAATGATAGAAATGCTTCCAGAAAAATAACATGTTCACTCAAAGGAAGTAAACATTTCCTTAACGATATCAATGGCATGCTAGTCATGTTAAATTACTTTCTATAAAATCATTTTGATCCAAAATTGGCTCAACACATGGTATGAAGTCTTTTAATAAAATGTTTACATATAAATGCAGCAACTAATCAAAATCGCCTGGACCAAGAATAAATTCTATAATCTCTCTAACCTAATAAATTATCCTTTTCAGTTTTGACTTAGCACCTTCCAATGTTTTAATGTGAATGTTTTTAGGAGTGTGATCAAAATGAAAGACACTATAATAATGTCACTTTTTTCACTTATTAGTATAACATTTCCACATTTCAACACTAAAACAGTAATCTGACAGTAGATAAATGCTGAAACGTACTCACTGACCATTTTTGTCTAAAAATAATGATAAAGATGTAGATTATACTTCTGGAAATATTGGTATTTAGACAAACTAAGCAAAAATATAATATATATAATTAGCACATTTGAGTAATGGAGTAGCATTTAATTCACTTTAACATTTCCTATTCTTTACAGCAAGTCAAATAACAATTTCATTTACCTAAAAGTAAATTGTTGCCAAAATGTCTTTCCAACCTCCTGAGGTTTCACCAGACGACTTATAAGAGCAATTTGGAAATCATGCCTTTGATTAACTAAGCTTCCAGGAAATTTCAAAATATGTTAAGAGTCAGCTGATTTGTCAGTTCCATATGGTTACTTTCAGAATGAGATCATTGGCTTATTTTGTTGTAGTGAGGAGTTGAATAAGGAATAGGTGCTTGAATTGTATCCTCCTATTATATTTGCATTTATAGTTATAAAGTTTTTTAAATGCCTATTCTATTTCCATTATCCATTTCATTGTAAAGATCTATATTGTAAATTTTAACACATCAATATATTAATGCAGAAATATTTAAAACTGATTCTGGGTCAAGTATTTGCCTACTCTGAGGAAATGATAAACAGGAGTGCCTAAAAATACATTATTTGGCAGCATAGGGTTCCACAGCACTGATAGCTCCAACTCCTCCCTTGGCGCAGACGTGGATCTGTGGTTGACCCACCGACCTTGTCTTTTCCTAGAAATATGTCCTTTTCCTGGGTGAGGACCTGAGCTCCTGGACTGCAGGAGACCAGGCTGCTCAGATCCCCAGGTGCGACTGTGAGGCAGGTGGCAAGGCAGAGTGGTTCAGGAACCTCTTGTTGGGCAGGTGTGTGGAGTGGTTCTGGGACTCTTGGATTTTGGAACTTCCTCTGGTGTAGGAGACTGTCCTGTTTTGTTCAGACCAATGTGGTCTCTGGGGTCTGTGTGTCCTCATTCACACTGACTGTCCCATCCACTCCAGTGACTGTTATTTGTTGCTGCTTCTGAGTTCTTTTTTGTTTCTTTTTTAAAAGATTTATTTATTCATGCATACAAGAACTGGGGTGTAAGCCAGAGGTGTGTGCAGGCCAGAGGTGTGTAGGGGTGGTGGTGAAAAGATTTACCAGGGAGAGTGGGGAGCAGAACAGGCAGATCTACTGAAATACATTGGCGAGGGGAGCAGTGGGCAAGACAGGAGAGATCAGCTGGGCCACATAGGATGCTCCCTGGCCAGCCGGGATTCGAAATCCTGCTATAGTAGCTGGCGACAGCTTGATAGTGCTGCCTTTAACCCCTGTGCCATGAGGGAGGCCCTGCTTCTGAGTCTTATAATTCTGATTGCTGCTCCCTGCTAATGTCAATGGAGAAGTTCTCCAGTGGGGACAGACATGTGTGCAATGTGAGTGAGGCTTCTTTCTTTTCCAACCAGGGGAGGAAGACATCAGAGATGTGACTGAGGACCCAGGAAAGAACTGGAAACCATGAAGGGGGGCAAGAGGAGCTGCACCCATCAACTTCTGGTGTCTGTCCCAGAAATTCTTTGACCACATGATTACAAAACCATGAAAGAGACATTGGGAATAATAGTTCTAGAAAAAAAATGAACCAGGTCTACTCCAGGAGGTATTCATTTATAAAGTGATGATAATTATTCCTGGAAAGAAGAACTTGGGGTTCAAATAAGTTTGAGTAAATTTATAAATAAATCAAATTCATACTGTTTCAATTTTTGATAAAATTCCTGATCAGTATAGGTCTTCTTTGAGAAGACAGATTCCATGGTACTCTATATTATTTTTTACTTTTTCAAAAAGTTCCATGATTTATAATGTGCATTTCAGTTTGTGAAATGTTTACTGTCAGAAGATAGTACTTGGTTTGCCATGAAGAGGGAAATTATAGCATTAAATTGGAAATCATGGATCCTTGCGAGTCAACCCATACATTTAAAAAATCAGGTCCATTTAAAAAATAAACTTTAATTCATTCTGCTATAAGACATATAGGTTGTAATTCATCTTGAGAATTATAATTTATATAATTATAATTTATATATAATATATATTATATAAATTTATATAATTTATATAATTATAATTATAATTTACTATATTGTGAAAAATATAGTAACATTTTGATTTTTATGTAAATCTTTGAAAACTTACTTTTATTATACTATGTAAATAAACAGATAAATATTAAGATTAGGGTTTGGGAAAGATAACAATGAAGAATATCACAAAGACTAGCTTTAATCTGAATAAAACTATGTATTTATCAATGAACATCATTGTTAAGAGTTTTGCAATAACTATTGAGAATAATGACTACTATATTTCCCATTTTGACTATCTGGCATATATTTGTGAATTATGTTGACATAATATATGAAAATACATTAGAATATACTTGACCAACAACACTCTTCCCATATATGCAAAATAAGATGTTGATGTTTTAATTGAAATATAACTATCACTTAACATTGTAGTAGTTAAGTATACAACATAATGATTTAATCTATGTATATACACACATATATACAAATATATATAATGCAAAATGATACTAATAAGTTAGTTAACATTCATACAATATTTTTCTTTTTCTTTTTTTTAATAGAACTGGGGTACAGACCAGAGATGCGGGTGAGGATTCATCAGAGACAGACTGGGGAACAGAACAGGCAGATCTACTGAAATACACTGCTGAGGGG